ATACATATATATACACTTGCATTCCTCTATATAGAAACGATTTATTTCTGAGGGTTTAATACTTGTTTTCAAACTCATTATTTATTCACATTCCTTGAATGTAACGTATTATGCTTTACACGTGTGTGCTTTTTTATTTTAATTTTATTTACATATCATAGAATGCGCAGTGTTTGCTTCTAAGATAACTTTATAACTACCATACTTGTCACACAACACAAAAGTTTTGCTATCTGAGAAGTAGCAAAATGAAAAACTTCTTTATTGCTCGTTATACAAGTTTCAACTATTAAAATTCTCGAGTTATATACATATATATTGCGTGTATCTTTTTATTGCATTTATTTTTATTTTCACAACTCTTGAAAACTGAGATGTTATACTATCGCTTGCTTTAACCAAAGTAGGTTATAGATAAAGGAGAGAATGAATTATTTTCTTTTTTCCCTATTTTTTTTTTTTTTTTGTTACGAATAAATGGAATGTCTAAAAGATTTTTTGATTGAAGTTAAATTTAATTTAATTTCATATTATTAAATTTAGCATTTTTTTTTGAGCTTCTATACGAGAGAAATGATTAAATTCTCTTTGAATATATTAAACCAAAAATATTTCTGTGGACAATCTATTTGAAAAAAAAAAATACTTGAAATATTTTTTCTGGAATTTAATTTTAATTGGAATTTGGTGATTTTAAAAATTCGATGCGTCACATACAATTAACAAAAATGCTTTTTATTAGTAAGAGAATTCAGTAAATGATAGAGATTTTTTTTATTAACGCAAATGTGAATTTTTTTAAAAACCAGAAATAATTTCATATTGAATTTTTTATTCCTAAAAGTAACGTCTAGTATTGATTCAAATTTACAAATGTTTGATCAACACTGTCCTTTTCTACTAAGGACAAAAATTGAGAAATTTATTAAGTCGGACTGGAACTTACTTTTACTACTTTTAGAAAAATTCCAAAAAAACACATTTTCTATGTATATTTGCAATACATTCTACAGTTTGGTCTGACGGAAACCTGCTTTTACTACTGATAATTACTGAAATACATAAACATTACCACTACAACTGATTTTTACAATTAATTATAATTTGCAAATAGATTGAAGTCTATTTTCTTTCGGTACTGATACAAAAAAATTCAGAAAATTCTGTCTGACTAAATCTGGTTTTTACTACTTGAAATAAATATTTTAAAATTTGTAAAAACTGAGTAATTTGACTTTTAGTACTGATAGAAAAATTGCGAAAGAATATGTAAAATATTCGTCTGACTAAAATTGGCATCTACTACTGAAATTACAAAAACAGTAATAGTATGTCTGATCGAAAATTTCACTCACTGCTATAAAAAAAACTTGTCTGACTGTAATTGTATTTTACTACTTGTACAAAATATTTTTTAACTTGTAAAGTAACTTTTACTATCGACACAAAAATAACATAAATTTTCCCTCCGACTGAATCTCTTTTTTTCAAACCATTCGTCTTTTTTTAAATTTTAAGAATTGGGGAAATTTTATCAAACTGATTGGACTATTTTTTTTTTTTGAATATATGATTAATGTATTCAATTTGCCCGTCAATGTGAGTGACCTATATATGTATATGAAAGGTTATTCTAAGTAGAGCATCATTTCATATCTAGAGTTGTAAGAGAGAGAGAGAGAGAAATTTGATGCACTCTGGCGCGAGGGTTTTCTTGGGTAAACAAATAAAAAGCATTCATGACTGAGTGTTTCTCTGCGGAAGTAAGTAAAGCGTATCTTCATCGTTGAAGACGAGTAGGTCGTTATTTGTTCTGAAATTGCCAAGCAAAATTTCTATCCTTATCTAGGTAGCGTATATCAGAAGATCGAAACGCTGCGGTTTAATACGTATTATGGGAGAATCCGACCGTTATATAGGAGCCCCCCCCTCCCCTCTTCTCTCTCCCTCTCTAAAAGCAACGAGCGCTATCACGTTAACTTTTGGGAACAAATTGAAGACTCAAAGTGGACGAGAGAGAGAGAGAGAGAGAGAGAGAGAGAGAGAGAGAGCGAGCGAGCGGAATTTTCGTATGAAATCGCGTTTGTTCGTTTAGAGTATTATGCGCTTCTCTCAAGGGCGTTAAGAATTCGACTCTCCTGGCGGCTCATATGAACGGGGTTATCTTTGTAATTGTACCCCAAAACCACCCACCTTTCTGTGAACATAGTTTTCTCACTTTCAAACCGTCTTGAATGTTAGAATCGGATCTCTCTTTCTCTTCTCCTCTTTCTCTTAATATAATTCTCTTACCGCGATATTTTCCTTCTCTGTCTATACTGTCTCTCACTTTCTTTTTTTTTAAATTCCTCTTTCTCTTTTCTTTTATATTCTATCTCTTTCTTACTTTTTCTCACCTTCTCTCGTTCTCTCTCTCTCTCTCTCTCTCTCTCTCTCTCTCTCTCTCTCTCTCTCTATTTACCATCTTTGTTCTGTTCTCTTTGACCTGCCCGATAAGGACAATAGCTGCAAAGTGGCGCCTTCCCTCTACTTTTCCTATTGTCATTACTACTATTCTGCATCCGCTCAGTTCTTTTGCCTACTTTTCTCAACAAGTTTTCCAGCTCTACCTTCCTTATTCCCATTTTACCCCCTTTTTCAAGCTCTCTCTCTTTTTATTCTCTCTCTCTCTCTCTGTATGTGTGTGTGTGTGTGTGTGAGAAAAGTTATTCTATTCTTGTTGCTTTGTATATATTATCAGGAAGTGGAAATTGGAACAATTTAAAAATCTCTACTTGTATTCTCTCCCTTCTTGAATGATAAAATTTTATTCATTTGAATATTTGGTTTCTTTGATGAAAAAGAAAATGTATATTCCAGTACGATTATTATCCTTCTTTATTTGATTATTTCATGATTTTTATTTAAAAAAAAAAAAAAACTTTTATGACAAAAATCCAAAATTTGGTTTAATATAAAAAAAATTTTTTTTTTATTCAAATAATCGGTTACTTAAATTTTGGTACATAAATATTTAATTGAAATAATTTTTTATTGAACTAAATAAATTGTATTTTAACCAATAATTTCTGTATTTGAAACAAATACCATTTAAATAATTCAAATAATAATAATAATTTTCATTTGTCCGAAAAGAATGATTTTGGCGCATTTTTTCTGTTGATTGTTTTTTTTTTTTTTGTCAATTTGTAATTTTGGACAAATGAAAATTCGGACAAAAAAATACTTTAAAACCAAAAATACTTTATATAAAAAAATATTTTTAATCCAAAAAAAATTTTTTACTTTATTTCTTTATATATATATATATATATATTTTTTAAATTTCTTGGATAATATTTTTTTAAGTTGACACAGTTTTCCTCCCCTTCTTTCTTTTATAGACTCCATTTTTCTGCATAATTTCACAATTTTAACATCGCTCTCTTTGACATTTTCTGTATGTATATATATATATATATATATATATATATATATATATATATATATGTGTGTGTGTGGGAATTTACATAAATCGTGTATTCCTCTACGCGATTAACCTTTCGTTATATATATACGTCCATCAGTTTGCTTTTCATTTCTTGCCATTTCTCATATATGTAAGTCTTTTCCCTTCTTCTTCTTCTTCTTCTTCTTCTTTTTTCTTTCACCCCCGAATGGTTTCGAGAAATTTCAAAAGGGACAAATCCTAAGGGACGAAATGTCGTTTCAAATTCTTGCTATCGGTTTTCTTATATCCAAGTTCTCTAGAAAACTTCGACCAGCTTTAAGAAACAAGACAAATTATTCTTATACTGTGAAAGAAGGTCACGGACAGGATTTTTGTATTTTTTTTTTGTCTTTGTCTTTCAAAAACAAGAGAAGTTTGCTTTGCAAAAAATAAATAGGATTAAATATTCACAATTTGAAAGCTATTTAAAAAAAAATTTGTCCGAATTTTTCTTTCTCAGAGTTTTTTTATTTTTTCTGAATTATTATTTGTCCGAAATTTAATTTGTCCGAGTTTACAATTTTGTCAACTTTTTATTTGTCCGAATTTTAGTTTCTCCGAATTTGTATTTATCCGAGTTTCCATTTGTCCGACTTTTTATTTATTTTTTTTTTTTTTGAATTTTTATTTATCCGCATTTTAATTTGTCCGACTTTTTATTTGTTCTAGTTTCCATTTGTCCAACTTTTTTATTTAGACGAATTTTAATTTGTCCGAGTTTGGATTTGTCAGACTTTTTATTTATTATAAAAACAATTGTTTTTTTTTGATCAAAATTAATAACGTATAGTGGTAGGGATTAAAATTTTCATCAATTAATTATTTATGTAATAAATTTGAAATTCAATACTCAAAAGACGAAAGCTTATTAATGTTCAACATACGTGTATATGCTTAATTGCAATTTTTATTATTAGATTATGAGCTTAATAATGTACTTGTAAATATGGAATATTATTATTTTATATATAACATATTATGTTGGATTTTTTTTTGTAATTTGGCATCATGGTGAAAATTGATCGACATAATGAAGGTATCCATTATTATCTGTGCGCCGAGAACATTACCTCATTGAAACGAGGTGATTGTCGTCTCTACTCGACACACTGGAATAATGTTCTTTATCGATCCTTATATAGTATCCGATTATTTGGCATCTATCGTTATATTGGCATTCAATTTAAAATAAATGGAACGAAGAATTGGCATAAAATTCAATCAACACGCATTCAAGTCTACTAAAGAATGGTTTTCAACTGAGATATATTGATATATTAGAATATAATAATAATAATACAAAAAAAATATTATTTTTAATATTTTTATAATTTTTATTATTATTATTATTATTATTATATTTTTTGAAAAACATTTTTTTTTATAATTTATATTTTTCAAAAAACTTTAAAAAAGCTTTTATATTGTTTTTCACATAATGTTAATAAGATTCCTTTGAAAATGTTTTATATATATATATATATATAATATCAAAGTTTCTCGCTTGTGTCACGTCACCGTAACTTTTACATTCATCCTTTTAATCAATACCGAGTTATATGTCTCTGCGACAAGCACACGTGTGCTTTTCTCTTTCCGCCCCTTTTTTTTCGTGTAACTAAACATCTTTCTTTTATATATAAAAGACCCCTGCGTTTAGTATCCTTCTACGACAATCTACTGTATTTCTATTTCTGTATACATACAAATAGAAGCGAGAAATCTTTTATGATACCAGAAGAGCTCACACCCCCACAAAACAAAATGATCCCTTTCTAATTTTCCCTGTGCTAAAATCAAACGATGTAATAAATGCGCTCTTTCCAATTATCCTATGTGACGAACCCCTGTGGTATCACCACATTAGAAGAGTACAGCTGCAAATAATCATAGTCATACTTTCGTATCCTGAAGAAGCTGGTTCACACCCCCCTTTTTACGTTCAACTGAGAGAGAAGGACTGAACTTTGACTTCCAAAATTAGGGTGAAAATATATAGTAGGACAATAAAATTTTATCTATTCTCTTACGAAAACTCAGTATAAAAGGGCTACATTTTCATGGAGAGATCAGTTCTGGGATCCTCTTCATACGTATAACATCAACTAGTTCTGGGATCCTCTTCATACGTATAACATCAACTAGTTCTGGGATCCTCTTCATACGTATAACATCAACTAGTTCTGGGATCCTCTTCATACGTATAACATCAACTAGTTCTCAAATTATCTTCATACGTATCAATCTCATTCTTGGTGCCAGTCGACGTCTTATAGTACAAGTGCATAATTCTCCTTTATCAAAGTGAAAATCAAGCATCAATACCCTCTACATAAAACGAGGATCATCACTACTTATTGCATTGGGCAATTATCTATTTTATTTGGAAGAGACTCATTATTCGGACATTCGTCACGCCTAATAGAACTCCGGACCTGCGGTTATACCTGGGCCCGTCAACCTTCCGGACGTCATAACTCACGCTGGTACCAGCTCCTTTTCCTGTGTCAACAAAGGACACAGCAGTGGTCCTTTTCTTTATTGAAACTTATCTACTACTGAATTTTAAGGTAAGTGTCTTATATTTTTACTCCTAACTTTCTAAACTCGTCGTATATTTGTGGTAACCCTTACATTCCTTATTTCAGTTGAATGCTGAACTCATTTCCTGGATTGGTTGGTTCGAGATTCCCTCTCTCTCACATAAGAACGAACTATTTTAACCCATTAAAATTTGTCTAAATAAAATTGTAACTTAATTATAAAAATTTCTATTCTCTTTCTTACCTGTACCCTTAGTTCAGAGCCTTCTGCTCTGTAAATGAAACAGGATTACCCTGAATCACCGAAGCGGAAATAAATAAAAATAAAATATAATTTCTGAAGTTATTTCTTATATTTGAGACGTAACAGAGGAAATATTATTTTTGGTGCATCGTCCGCTGTGATCAAGAAAGAGAAACTAAATTCATTCTTTTTTCTAAAATATTTTTCAAAAAATAATGAGAGAGGAGAAAAATTCTTGAACCAATAAATCTAAAATTCCTTTTTATTCTCTACTTACATTTTACACAAGTGACAATTCTATAAGTGAAAGTCGATCCAAAAGTGAAAGCAGTCAAAATATTAGTGGTAAATTAAAAAAAAATATGCAACATTCTTATTAAACTATATGTCTGAAAAAAGTGATCCCATTCCAAACCCAACACCTGATCGTTGTCTTCGAAGTCATACTAGGGCCGGAAATTTAGAAACTCGTCCAAAAGTTGTTCATTCTCCCCCTATCAAAACTTATACATTAGATCCTAAAAATTCAGAAGACGACAGTGATACTCTTAGAATTAGCACAGAAATAGGAAGTGAACAAACATTTAATGCTTTTGAAAATAATCTTCTTGAACTAAATCCAAAATTTTTATCTACACCAAACAAAGACTCTGTTATTTCATTATTAGAGAAATCAGTAAAAATGTCTATTCCAAATAATCAACAAGTATCTCTTCGCGATGCACTAGAATTAGTCCCTTCATTTGATGGCCAAAATATACCATTGACGACCTTTCTCGACGGGTGTCATGAAGCAAAATTAATGTTACCAGAATCTCCCCAAATAGAAGAAAATTTAGTTAAACTCGTTCGAAGTAAATTAACAGGCGAAGCTAGGAAAGCTGTATCCGGAAACACTTTTAAAACTATTCTAGATATGGGGACACAATTAAAAAAGGTATTTTCACCAAACAAAACCGTATACCAATTACAGGGCGAATTAGGAAATATTTTTATGTGGGAAAGTGAAAGAGTTTTATCTTACGCAAATAGAGTAAAAGAGTTGTCAGATCAAATTTTTGACGCATATAGATTAGCAAGTAAAGACGGTACTTTAACTAAAACAGTGATAGAAACATTAGAATTAGACATTGTTTCTTGTTTTCGTCGAGGTTTGCGTCCAGAAATAGAAATTCGAATTCCAGATTGCGTAACTTTAAAAGAAACAACAAATAGAGCATTAGAAGCAGAACGAAAATTAAATGCGGTAGTAGAACTCAGAAAAGGAAATTCTTTAAGATCAAAAGTTACATTTGCAAAAGAAGAATCAATTATATGCCAAACTTGCGATACAATGGGGCACACTTCTAAAAACTGTAGGTCAAGAAATAATCAATATAATAGAGATCGTTCTATATCCCCTATGCGGCAGGGACCATCTGTTGCTTTTCCAAGAAGAGGAAACTCCCCCTCGTTCGGCCAACGATGGCATTCCCCTTCACAAGTACGATTTTCAGATTTTTCTCAAAATTCCTATAATAAACCAAATTCACAATTTCAAAATAAAAATGATTTTCGCACTAATCAACAGAACAGACCTTTTAATGTTACTTGCAATTATTGCAAAAAACCTGGTCATGTTATTAAAGATTGTAGGAAAAGAGAATATAATAATAAACTCAGAAATACATTTTCAAGTAACAATCAAATTAGAGAAAATTATCAATACAAAAATAATTATCAAAATAATGGATTTAAAAATAATTCTACATTTAATAATACTCAATTTAACAAACAAAATTCTAATACACGACCATTCACCCCAACAAATGAGGGAAACGAACAAAACCGTCCCAGGTCAGGTGCGTCGGGACAGGTGACAATAGAATAAGCGTGCCTAACAAAGAAACGTCCGGGGGTCTAGAAACCATTCAAATCAATTGTACTAAAGGAAACAAAATACCATCTATTTATGTTAATACAGTTTCTAAGCCACTTCATTTAATGATTGATACAGGAGCAGGATTAAATCTTCTAAAAGAAAAAATGCTTGATTCTACAATGACTTTAAATAAATTAAAGAAAATTCAATTAACGGGTATAAATGAACACCCAGTACACACATTAGGACAAACAAAATTAAATATTTTTGGTTATCTCACAATTTTTAATATAATACCAAATGAGGTTCCTATAGAAGAAGACGGTGTTTTAGGATCGGAATATTTTACTGACAATAATGTTAAAATTAATTATGCTGAAAAATGTTTAGAAGTTGAAGGAAAAACATTTTCTTTTGCATCCAGAAATTTTATAACCCTTCCACCTCGATCAATATCTGATATATTTTTATTTGTCGAAAATTCTGATTTAAAAGAAGGATATGTCCCTCTTTTAAATACAGAACCGGGAATTTATATAGGAAACGCTTTAGTTACAAATCACAATGGTAAAGCTTACATAAAAGCAGCAAATACGTTATCAATATCAGTTAAAATTGAAATTCCAAAAGTAACCTTACAAGAATATGATGAAATTTCTGATTCAAACCAAACTACAAATAATAGTAAAATTGAAAAAGACATTGAGGAAAAATTGTTAGATAGCTTTATTTATTCAGAAACTCTGAATAATAAATTTGGATTTTATAATCTTACAGGTAAAGAAAGAATTGAGAAAATTTTAGATTCCCTTCGGTTAGATCATTTAAGATCAGAAGAATTAAAACATGTAGAAGCATTAATTGCAGAATATTCCGAAAGATTTCATTTACCAGACGAATATTTAACAGCTACCAATGTTCTCCAACATAACATCCCTACTAAAGACGACGAACCAGTATTTACGCGACAATACAGATTTCCCCCAGTGCATAAAGAAGAACTTTTAAGACAAACAAGTGAACTTTTAAAAAATAAAATAATCAAACCCTCTCAATCCCCATATAACACACCGGTATGGATTGTGCCTAAAAAAAATGACAGTCATGGAAATAAAAAATGGCGAATGGTATTAGACTTTCGCAAATTAAATGAAAAAACAATAACGGACTTCTTTCCATTACCGAATATAAACGAAGTACTCGAGACCCTTGGAAATGCGCAATACTTCTCTGTGTTTGATTTAGCTTCCGGTTTTCATCAAATTAAAATGAGCCCGAAAGATTCTCACAAAACAGCCTTTTCAACCCCATATGGTCACTATGAATTTGACCGTATGCCTTTCGGTTTAAAGAACGCGCCGAGTTGTTTTCAAAGATTAATGAATTGTTGTCTATCCGGTCTTATTGGTACAGATTTATTTGTTTATCTTGATGATGTTGTAATTTTTGCAAATTCTCTTGAAGAACATCAACAAAAATTTGATAATTTCATGTCTCGATTATGTAACGCGAATTTAAAATTACAACCAGATAAATGCGAATTTCTCAGACCCGAAGTAGTTTATCTCGGACACATAATTGATAAAAGTGGAGTCCGACCTGATCCAAAAAAGATAATTGCTGTTAAAAATTTTCCAGTTCCCAAAAACGTGAAAAACATAAAACAATTTTTAGGACTTGCCGGTTATTATCGAAGATTCATTAATAATTTTTCTAAAAAATCTGGACCTTTAACACAACTTTTGAAAAAGGACGTAACTTTTCAATGGACAGAAAAACAACAAGTAGCTTTTGAAATTCTAAAAAACGAACTTTGTGAAGAACCACTCCTACAAAGACCAGACTTTGAAAAACCTTTTATACTCACAACTGATGCATCCGGTTATGCTATTGGCGGTATTCTTTCACAAGGCGAAATTGGCAAAGACAAACCTATTGCTTACGCATCAAGATCTTTAAATGAACATGAAATAAAATATGATACTTATAATAAAGAGGCCCTTGCGATCGTATATTGCGTGTTACATTTTCGACATTTTCTTTATGGTAGGAGATTCAAAATTGTTACCGATCATAAACCATTATTATGGTTTCAAAATTCAAGTGATCCTTGCTCTCGCGTAACTAGATGGAAATTAAAATTGGCAGAATATGATTTTGAAATGATATACAAAGCAGGAAAAATGAATGTCAATGCAGATGCATTGTCTCGCAATCCAATCACTTATGTGAGAAAATTAGGACTTCGCATTCCAGAAGAAGAAGAAGAGGAAGAAGAAGAAGAAGAAGAAGAAGAAGAAGAAGAAGAAGAAGAAGAAGCAGAAGAAGAAGAAGATGAAGACGATGATGACTACAATGATGATAACAACGACAAAGATAAAGGTAAATATAGTGTCAATAACGAAGAAAGTGATTTATTTTGTGATGAGCAAATCAATTATGATGAAATCGACGCGAAAACTGTGTCCATAAGTGCAAATTCTAATCTCGTTAAAAAAATAACTAATCTCATATTCATGTTTCTTGTCATGTTAATGGGTAAAACAAAAAGTGAAGAAAAATTAAGCTATCCATTTAACACGGTAACAACTAGAGGAAAATTAAGGAAGATGAATCAAGAAAATTTAATCTCTAAAAAATCAAGTGAAAAAATACAAAATTCAAGTGAAAAAGTGCAAAATTCAAGTGAAAAAGTGCGAAATTCAAGTGAAAAAGTGCGAAACTCAAGTGAAAGTCTAAAAAATCCTAAATCAAAGAAATCTAATTCTAAATCAAAGGAATCTAATTCTAAATCAAAGAAATCTAATTCTAGTGACAAAATCAATGAAACTAAATCAAAGGGAAGCGAAATCAATGTGCAAAATTCGAGAAATGATAAAAATACAAAATCTATTCAAAACCCGCGAAATCAAAAAATTATTCAAGAATCAATTCGAAATCTTAGAAATCGTGAAAATTTGCAAAAGATAAATTATAATGAAAATTTAGTGATAGATGAAGACGAAAATTTAATCAAAAGGAAAAGAGGTAGGCCTAAAGGTTCAATTTCTAAACAAAAAACGCGTAAAATTAGTGAAGATATCGAGTGCGAAAGTGAAGATTCGGAGGAAAATTCAGATCCAGAATATATTAAACAAAATCAATTTTATCAACCTTTTAGTGCGGAAGAATATGTAAGTTCAAGTGATGATAGTGTTGAAGATTTTCCTCATGAAGAAATTATTGAAGATAATGCGAAATCAAAAAGAAAAGAAAATATAGAAGAAGAATACGATAGTGATTCCGACGATTTAGAGGAAATATATTTTCCTAACGAAATTTCAAATTCTAAACAAACTCAAAGAAAAATCAATAATGAGCATGAATGTCAACGCCCTCCTGCCGAGCCCCCTCCTAAGTTCCCCCTCGACCCTTTTCTAAACGAACAAAACGTGGGTGAATTAGAAAAATCAATTGATGGACCCTTATGTACTAATGTAGTGGAATGTAAAGACCAGTTAAGAATGCGGAAAGATAATTATGCGTACTTTTTATCTACAACAGGTGTCCCTTTAGATAATGGTTCTCGAAGTCTAAATAAACAAAATGAACTTCCTCAATTCAAAAATTTGTTAATTAATGAAGCTAAAGAAATTAAAAAAGGAAATTTTTTACACATTGCTTTACCAATTACTACAGAATCAAGTGAAAGTCTTACTCAAATAACAAATAATATCAAATTAACAATTGAATCATTCAAAAATTTAACAGAAAAATTAAAATTAAAATCAGTTAGTATTGCAAAAACAACAGTCATTAATCACGTAAATTGGCAAGATATCGAATTAATTCTTAAAGAAACTTTTCAAGATTCTTGTACTAAAGTTATAATTTGTAAAGGTTATGTTCAATATGCAACAAATGAACAAAGACAAATTTTGATTGAAGAAGCACATTCCTCTGCTATAGGCGGTCACAAGGGAGTTACGAAAACTTATAACAGAATTCGGCAAAAATATTTTTGGGAAAATATGAAATTAGACATTCAAAAATATATTCAAGCATGTTTACAATGTCAGTTGAAAAAGTTAGTTCGAGTAAAAACTAAAAACCCAATGGTTATTACTGATACACCAGGAACCGCGTTCGAAAAAATTTCTATGGATATAGTAGGACCTTTGCCAGCAACAGAATCGGGAAATGAATGCATTTTAACTATACAAGACTGCTTAACAAAATATTCTATTGCTGTCCCCTTACCAAATCAACAAGCCAGTACAATAGCTGATGCTTTTGTAAAGAAATTCATTTGTACTTTTGGCTCTCCAAAAGGCGTTTTAACAGATCAAGGTACAAATTTTTTGAGCAATCTTATGAAACGATTAGCAAAACGATTTCGCATTCGGCAATTTAAAACAACTTCTTTTCACCCTCAATCAAATGGTTCATTAGAAAGATCACATCATGTATTAGCAGAATATCTTAAACAATTCATTAATAAAAATACTCAATGGGATGATTTATTAGAATTAGCTATGTTTTCTTATAATACAAGCGTCCATGAAGGTACTAAATGTACACCCTATGAGTTAGTTTTCGGTAGATTACCAAGATTACCTTCAAGTTTACCACTTTTGGAAGAAGAAAAACTCGAGACTTATGATGACTATTTAGTAAAATTAGTTACAAAATTACATGATATTCAATCTCTCGCGCAGAAAAATTTAATTGAATCTAAAGAAAAATCAAAAACTTACTATGATCGTAAAGCTAACCCTCAAAATTTTAAAATCGGAGATAGTGTATTTTTATTACAAGGTCCCAAACCGAAAAAGTTAGGTAATCAATATACAGGACCACATGAAGTGTTAGAAATATTGAGTAAAGGAAACATAAAAATTAAAATAAATAAATCACCAAAAATTGTACACATTAACAGACTTCGCTTATCTCATATTCATCATGCTAACCAAAATTAATTTAAACATTTATATAAAATATAACAAGAATAGTGAATTAATTCAAATCTTAATACATATCCTTCAATATATTCACTAAATACACATAAACAAAACAATTTGCTTTTGCAACATTACTGTTTGCTCTTATAATTATAATTCTCCATTAATACAATTAACTTTTTATTAAAGTAAATAATCCAGTTTTGCATATTCTTAAGCATTAAAATACGAATAAAAAAGGCATTGTCAGTAACAACATAAATAAATATTATAAAAAATATATAATTATCTGTAATAAATCAAGATGACTCGAATTTTATATTGAACAACTGGAGTATTTTCTTAAGCATACATTTTAATTTTTAGATATAATAAAAAAGAAACATTAAATAATTGATAATAATATAGAGATATTTCTGTTTCAGGTGATTAAAATATATTATGGACATTCATTATATTAATATTTGCTATTTTTCTTCCAGGATCTATTTTTACATTATAAAATTTACTTTTTTTTTCTTTTAAATATTTCATATAAGAAAGTTTCATATTAATATTTTGTTTTTTTTCCTAAATTCAAATATTCAAAAATTAAAAAAAAAAAAAAAAAAATCAATTTTTTTTAAATTCTTAAACTTCATTTTCTTGTAGTTCGTATAAATACCGAAATTTGATTACCACAATGTGACACGAAATTTTGGAATCTAAAACATGTAAAAAGAAAAAAAAAAAAAAAAAAAAAAAAAAAAAAAAAAAAAAAAAAAAAAAAAAAAAAAAAGAAAAACATAGAATTAAGAATAGAATCTCTTTTTAACTTGTAACCTTTTTAAGAAAATTTATGACCTTACCTAACTGGATCCTAAATTCTTTTAGGTAATATGAACGCGCAAACTATGAAAAGGGTAAATTCTCCAGTAACAGATTTGGAGAATTTAGCCATTGAATTCTCGTTTACAAAACCTATATACTTAATACCGGAATCGAGGGACCAGGACATAGCGACATGTTCTATAGAACATGAAAATGATTATTTAGAAGTATCTATAGAGAAACATTCAAATACAAAAGACACTAAAAGAAAACTCGCTCAGACAATGTTAAAAAGATTACATATGCGATATGATTTTAATAATCATGAAAATGAGATAGATACCTGGAGCGATAAAGTCCAATTAATAAAATGGAGTTCTTCTTGCGAACGATGTTTCGAGCGATATCATATAGCGAAAAACTGTTTCAATGTTAAGAGAAATAAAAATTATTCAGATTAAAATAAAGCCAAAACTTGTTGTATATCTAAAATATTGTATTCATGTCAAAACTTCGGAAGATCCTCGTTTTTCTTCTAAAGGAGGGAGGGATGTATAGATATATATCTATATATATACACATAGTACAATGCGTCTTCATAAAATTATACCTGTATTCAGAAAGGAAAAAGTAGCGAAAATTTTTTCTATTTTTACATCCTTCCTCCTTTATATTATAAATGTATGCGATTAATTTAAGGAATTAAATATAAAACTCACTTAACATATATGTCTATTATAAATTTTACTGTGTGGAATGAGTTTCTTTATATGTGTGATTAGAAATAACATATTCCAAAATCTTGATAAATCTTAAATCATTGTGTGTTTTTCTAATATCTTATAATAAGATTACTTCTGCGTAAATCAATGTATAATCACTAAATCAAAATGATATTATAAATTATGTATAAAAAATATAATTGAACTCTGTCATCATCAGAATATAATCTATCTGTATGCACTATGTATTGAAAACTTATATCTTATTCTAAATTAACCAATGTGAAAAGAGCAAATAATATTAATGCATTTTTAAAATCCTCTATAATACATGGTATGAGTGTCTTTATAAATATAATTAAAAATCCTTTTTATATACTACTTCTACTAATTCTGTGAGCTTTTACGAAAGTATTTCAAATTTGTATATGCTTCTATACATAAGATTCTAATCTCTATAATTAAATCAGTTTTAAATCACGTATGATTATTAAATCAAAAAAGATAGTATGGGATATGTGTGAAAATCTTTGAAATCATTAACAATAATATTTGTATGTATTTTTCAATATATATAAACCTATATCTTAACTTGGTGTGAAACTATATCATGTGTATGACGTATTTTCTCTTAGGCCTTTTAAACATTGATGTCTAAAAACTTTACATAATATAATCAAAATTATAAGTGACATTTCCCTCAAATAACTTAACTCTTCTCAAAAACTGAATTCGTAAATTATTCAACTTCATTTCTAATTTCCGAATTTTAAAGGGGGGAGGTGTCACGTCACCGTAACTTTTACATTCATCCTTTTAATCAATACCGAGTTATATGTCTCTGCGACAAGCACACGTGTGCTTTTCTCTTTCCGCCCCTTTTTTTTCGTGTAACTAAACATCTTTCTTTTATATATAAAAGACCCCTGCGTTTAGTATCCTTCTACGACAATCTACTGTATTTCTATTTCTGTATACATACAAATAGAAGCGAGAAATCTTTTATGATACCAGAAGAGCTCACACCCCCACAAAACAAAATGATCCCTTTCTAATTTTCCCTGTGCTAAAATCAAACGATGTAATAAATGCGCTCTTTCCAATTATCCTATGTGACGAACCCCTGTGGTATCACCACATTAGAAGAGTACAGCTGCAAATAATCATAGTCATACTTTCGTATCCTGAAGAAGCTGGTTCACACCCCCCTTTTTACGTTCAACTGAGAGAGAAGGACTGAACTTTGACTTCCAAAATTAGGGTGAAAATATATAGTAGGACAATAAAATTTTATCTATTCTCTTACGAAAACTCAGTATAAAAGGGCTACATTTTCATGGAGAGATCAGTTCTGGGATCCTCTTCATACGTATAACATCAACTAGTTCTGGGATCCTCTTCATACGTATAACATCAACTAGTTCTGGGATCCTCTTCATACGTATAACATCAACTAGTTCTGGGATCCTCTTCATACGTATAACATCAACTAGTTCTCAAATTATCTTCATACGTATCAATCTCATTCTTGGTGCCAGTCGACGTCTTATAGTACAAGTGCATAATTCTCCTTTATCAAAGTGAAAATCAAGCATCAATACCCTCTACATAAAACGAGGATCATCACTACTTATTGCATTGGGCAATTATCTATTTTATTTGGAAGAGACTCATTATTCGGACATTCGTCACGCCTAATAGAACTCCGGACCTGCGGTTATACCTGGGCCCGTCAACCTTCCGGACGTCATAACTCACGCTGGTACCAGCTCCTTTTCCTGTGTCAACAAAGGACACAGCAGTGGTCCTTTTCTTTATTGAAACTTATCTACTACTGAATTTTAAGGTAAGTGTCTTATATTTTTACTCCTAACTTTCTAAACTCGTCGTATATTTGTGGTAACCCTTACATTCCTTATTTCAGTTGAATGCTGAACTCATTTCCTGGATTGGTTGGTTCGAGATTCCCTCTCTCTCACATAAGAACGAACTATTTTAACCCATTAAAATTTGTCTAAATAAAATTGTAACTTAATTATAAAAATTTCTATTCTCTTTCTTACCTGTACCCTTAGTTCAGAGCCTTCTGCTCTGTAAATGAAACAGGATTACCCTGAATCACCGAAGCGGAAATAAATAAAAATAAAATATAATTTCTGAAGTTATTTCTTATATTTGAGACGTAACACTTGGTTCCGGCTTTCTCTAATATTAAGTCTCATATCTATTTTAGTAAAAAAGAAAAGGTGCCATGAAACTTGAGTATATGAAAGCGTCCTTATATGAAATGTTTTATTTTTTTTTTCTTTTAGAAAATTTTGTATATATGTAGTGTTTTTATTTTAATTTACTTTTTAAATGTATGTAACAAAATATTTGTTTCATTTTGCATCTAAAATTATGTTCCTGTAGATTGTTAAAGTACACATTATTATACATATATATTATATATACTTGTTGCGAGCAAACAAAGTAAATCGATAAATTTGATAGGAATAATTAGTTATTAAATAACAATGAGAGAATGGTTAGAATATCATTTACATGTATATTCCAATGTTTGAAATTTGTCAATAAATGTAGAAAATTTACGTGGTGCAAAATGGAAAATTACATTAATTCAATTAGTTAATGGGAACAGTTCTAAATTATTGCTTCGAGGTATAATCAATAATATATATTGAATTTAACTACTTCATGTAAAATCTAATAGAAAATTTGTATTTAAGATTTGATTGTTCAATATTATTATGTAGGAAAGCTTAAAAAAAAAAAAATTACAGTGAAACCGAATTAGGCGGGTTATAAAAAAATTACCGACATAGAAATCTACCTTACCATCAGTCAGTAATGTAGATTTCTATGTCGGTAATTTTTTTTATTTTCATTTTTCAAAATTTTTTACCGTCTTGTTAATTTTTTTTAACCATCTATGTATTTGTTTCAAATAATCAGTTACTTGACTATTATCAAATATAAATTTATTTGCATTAATTTTATTCATTTAGTTATTTTCTTTTTAATTAATTTATTAGTCTATTATTTATATTTTTAAATATAATTTGACAATTTATAGTTTTAAAAGAATTTTTTTTTTTGTTTTGTAAAGTATTGTTATTTATTTCTTTTTTTTAAAGTATTTTTTTATTTTGAAGTATTTTTTCTTTTAAAATATTTTTTCTTTTAAAGTATTGTTTGTTTTAAAATACTTCTTGAAACTTTCGAATTGTGTAATTCTATCTATTATTTGAAAATTAATTTCCAATTAACAAACACTTTTGTTCAATTTAAGCGCATTTGCATCAATACGGATTTTCATTTCATTTTATATGCGTTCAATTTCATTTTCATTTGATTAACTTCAATATGCTTGTCATTTGATTTATATATATTTATCTCAAAATCTATTTTAATTTATTCTATTCTTATATTTGCAATTATTTTTTTCAGTATATATTTGTAGTGAATAGAATGCTTGTATAATAGCGTATGAGATATTCTTTAAATGAAGAGTAAAAATTTTTTCATTTAATAAAAAAGGATTATGAATGGTATTAATATTAGATATTAAATCTCGCGTCTCGCGCGTAATATAGATTTTTAAAAAATTGAGAAAAAAAAAGCCGCACGAATTCAATAGACGGTCGTAAAAACGTACAATAGGCATTCGGGAGTAGGGGCAAAGTCTGATTGGAAATAAAGCTATGTAAAAATATCTATCGACGAGGTCTTGAGTGACTGTGAAGTCGACAAGATCTGCTTTTGCAGCATTTATGAAACCGATATCACAGAATGAAAATCTCAACTTGATTTCCGTGAAGACCTGAAGTAAATGAGAAGAATAGAGAAACTTAATAAATTGTGTGCGAAAAGGAATAGAGACGTCTGAAGAGTGTTTTCTTCTTTCAATAGCATTCTCTCTTTCTCTCTTCCTTTGAACACTGCGGTTGAGACGACACAATGAACGTATCTATATTTGAAATTCACTGCCTTCAATGCATTCATAAGATGCTGAAAGCATTTCATTTGTATATCTCTTCTATTGACGTTATTTATACTGTCAAGGTCTTTTTTTTTTTATTTGACAATTCAAAACTTTTAAATCAAGTTTTAATGACATGTCATTTTTTTTTAAATTGCCCTTTTATCAATTAAATAAATATTATTATTAGTTTCTCTCTGATTTTTTATTATTATTATTATTTAGTCAAATAACTGATTATTTGAATAAAATAATTTTTTTTTTGTTTTAAAAATAAAAAATAAAAAAAAGTTGACAGTATTTTGTGTGCGTTTATCAAAAGAAACGATGACAAGCTTAGTGCTGAAACAATATACGGTTTCAGCGGCAGTGTCGTGTCTTTATGACCGCTTTGTGTGTATATCTCAGCGCGTCGCTATTACTCAAACTGTCAGGCATAAGTCAGAAGCCCATTATTCAAATGCATACCATGGTCAAAGCACACTTGTGTAATATGATGAGTTTAAACTATACGCATTACACGGTTACCTTTACGCTTCACATGTTATCCGGAAAACAAGGTCAATGAATATACATATATATATATATTGAGACTGAGAGCAATCAAAAATGGCAAGTGTGTGTGTGTGTGTGTGTAATTTCCATCTTCTCATTAATTGAAAACTTTGCACATAAACTTTATATTTAAATATCAAGTAAAAGATATTAAATTAAAGTTTTAGTCAGATATAACCGTATTTTTTTTTATTAGTAGTATATACCAACTTTAGTCGGACAAAATGTGGTTAAAGCTATTTACATTGTAATTGCAGTATAAGTAGTAAACATCCGTTTTAGTAAGACATTACTGAATTTTTGTAATTTTTTGTATCAGTAGTAAATTCCAGTTATGGTCAGGCCAATGTTAGTATTAGTAGTAAATATCCGTTTTTGTCAGACAACTGTATTTTTTGGACTTTTTTCACTAAAAGTAGAAACCACCAGTGATATAGTCAGACAAATTGTTTCTTTTTCAAAAGACAAAATAAGTAAAAAATATACTTTTTAGTCAGACGTAACTGTATTTTTCAATAATTAAAAAAATACTAATACTAAAAATAAATTTAATTCAATCACCATATCAGTGTTAAATATAAATTTTTATCGAAGGCGAAAATTTACAAAGGTCTTGTAATTTTGCCCTTAGTAGTAAAAGTACTTTCTAGTCAGACAGCTTTATATAGAATTTTTTAAATTGTTTTAATACATAAAAATTAATTTAAAAAATAAAAAAATATTTTTAATTCTTTTGCTTTTTTATTTTTTTTCGAATAAAAAAAAACTTTCCGCTTTTATTATTTTCTATAGTGAAAATTAGTCTCTTATCAAAAAACTGTTTTTTTTTTTTTTTGTTAACTTTTAACGAGAGTTTCAATATAATCTCTCGAGACGAAAAAAAAGGGGAAAAAAAACCGAATACTATCTCACCTTGTGTAATTTTGCGACGCATTTTGGCCATTAAAGAGAAGCTGGGGGCGAACTTAGAGAACACACACACATATATAAACACAAAAGACTGAATCGTACCAATTGCCAGGAATAGTGCACAATGAGCGGATAACTTGGACATTGAACAGTGGTGGATATCGACGTCACTATAGTATAACTATATATATATATATATATATATATATATATATATATATACTAGTGTTCAATCGGTTTCTATGTCAAAGTATTATGTAACTCTGGGGGAAATGTTGCAATTGACCAGTACTTGAGTAAATACACGCGAAAGTGTTGGTGTAAAGCCTCTTATCCACCGCAGACACACAACACAAACATTTCTATAGTCAAAAGGGATGTATCATTATACGTTATCTACAGCAAATACTATTGTGATTTTTTTTCTCCCCTACCTTTTTTTGGTGATGGAGGGGGAAGAGAGAGAGAGAGAGGGAAAACTTGTTGAAACACCGTTCGCTTTTTTTTATATAAGCTTCTTTACTCTCTTTTTTTTTGCGCCGAGAAATACAAATCCATTCTTTTGATATTTTTATAAAGCAAAACATGAAAACAGTTAAACAGTTTTTTTTTTGAAATAAAAGATATTATATTTCAAATGAATTAAAAATATAATAAATATTTATTCTATTTACAAGAAAAATGATCGACAAAAATTTGACTTAACATGCTGTTAAGATAACTGTATAAAAATGAAAAATAAAATGCAACATGTTGGAATATTAAATGAGCATATTGCATCAATTTCAAAGTTGACTTAATGTAGTAAAAAAAATAAATAAATAAATAAAAAGAGTTTCAATGCGAGAGATTTAAAGGATGAAAATTTAATAAGAGCTGTTGAATCGTCTTTATATATATATATATAAAAGAAAACCGTAAAACGAGAAAGGCATCAAGTTATCTTTCGACCGCAATCAGATTCTCTCTTAAGATCATTAAATATTTATTTACTAGCTACTTTTTCATGCCCCAGGAAAAGAACTGTATAAATATACAGTTCTTCTACTTTTTCTCCTGTATATAACAAATACAACTAGGGAGGAAAAGTTCGACCTACTCACATTACGAGTGGAAAGCGGTTTACTTTTCTTTTTCAAATCTCTTTCGTTTATATATATATATATATATATATATATATTTATTTATTTCTCTCGTCTCTTTATAAAACAGAGAACACTGAAAAGAATCAATTTTATAACTCTTGTAGAATGGCACTTTTGTAAAGTAGCACAATGTATTTCACGCGTTTATTTATTACATTGAAGTGACAATGTTTTACGATTTCCACGTCACTGATATGTGAAGTCGAAATGAATTAGAAAAAACATCAAAGAGAGGTTGTGCCAATATTAATTATTATGTCAATATAATAATGATTATACCAAAATATTAATAATTATGCCACAAAAATATGAGAGAAGCAGACGCATGGCGTTGCACATAGTAACTGGTACCATAGTAACTGGTACCATAGTAACTAACTGTTACCATAGTAACTGGTACCAAAGTTACTGGTATCATAGTAACTTTGGTACTAAAGTAACTGGTACCATAATAACGAAATGGTACCAAAGTAAGTGGTACCAAAGTAATCGGTACCATAGTAACTGGTACCATAGTAATTGGTACCATAATAACGAAATAATACCAAAGTAATCGG